GGGTGTGTGGGTCCACGTCAGGAGCAGGGGCCGCGTCAGGAGCAGGGCTGCGTCAGGAGCAGGGGCTGCGTCAGGAAGAGGGTCAATGACAGCAGCAGGGTCCACGACAGCAGCAGGGTGCAGGACAGTAGCAGGGAGTACCTGAGGGAGAAAAAAAGGGGTGTGTGGGTCCGCGTCAGGAGCAGGGGCCGCGTCAGGAGGAGGGTCCATGACAGTAGCAGGGGGTACTGTTGGGCCAGGGGCGGCATCTGAGGCAGGACGGGTGTGTTGGGGTCGGTAGGACGTGGTGCTTGGGCAGGAAAAGGAGCAGATCCGTTTCTCCTCCATCCTGTGTGAGTGCGAATCTCTGGGGGTCACCATTTGTGGGGTTATGCGATATTGATTCACACTCAGGATGGGTTGGAGAAAGGAAACTCACAATGTGCTCTCTGTATACATATTGTATTGGATGTACAATGCAGCTTGGTGCTGGGGGGTGGCAGCGTGAGTCCAAGCGTGGTGTAGGAGAGAGTTGGTTGTTGAGGGTGCTCAGAGGACACGCAGCTCGTGGGTCGCCACGGTTGCCGGCGGGAGCGAGGGCCACCAGGTAGGAGCAGAGGAGGAGGTATTGCTTGCTGGTGGCTGTAGGTAGAAAGAGGTAGGTCACGGCGGGGTGAGGTCTTATATAGCGGGGGTAGGCGTGGGTTGATAGTTGACCTCCACTATGTTAGGCGGCGCTGGTTGCCGACCTAGGCCACGAGGCATACGCTGGGGAATTCGAAGAGGGTCGGCTGGTCAGTGACACGGCGGTTGTAGGGGAGGAATCCACTACAATATCACAGACTAAACTTAGGAGAATATAACTCACATTGCTAGAATCCTTGCAAGACAAGCGAATAATTTGAATATAGACATCACATATTTTCATTGGTGGGCACGGTTCCGCTAACCGCTAATTAGCGAAGCTAACTTTCTCGTTAGCGGATTAGCGTTTTAACTAACTTTGGAAACCATTAGCTGACCAATTAGCTTCCGCTAAATTTAGTTCCGCAAACTTTAAGTCCGCTGACAAAATATATACATGTTTGTTCCTGTCTGTTGTATGCGTGTGACACCGTGACGTGTCTCCAACAGCCAGTCAGGCACGCTTGGCTGACTGTGTGTTAGTATGTGTAAACGTGACAAGACATGATTTGTCGACTTTTCATTAAAGTTTAGAGTTTTCTGTTTATTTACATGACTAAGACCAACAATAAGTTATATAAAAATGCACTGGTATAATGTGTATGTGGTTGGTATTGCATATTTACATGAATAATGAATAAGGCCGATAGGCTGTATGAGAATGCAAATTAATTATTTGTGAAATTATGTACAGTGTACACCTTGATAAGTTGATCATCATCTGATCTTGGCATGATGCTATTTACTACCTACAGTATGTTATACAGTACTATACACCTTTTCACATATACGTTGAGACATTGTTGTATACCTATTTGACAAATTTCATAACAGAATGACAGAACATATATCGAATGACAATCTAAAATAACTGTTGGTGGTATGTCATTCTCCAATTGTTACATTCTCAAACTATATGTAGAGGAGAATGACAAGACTAATCCCAAGCATTAGGAACCTTGAGTACAGAGACAGGTTAAAGCATCTTAATTTGCACTCCCTCAAGAGACGTAGTGAGAGATATGATAGAGGTGTATAAATGGTAGTCAGGGCTAAACAAAGATGACATTACAAAGGTACTCAAACTATCCAACCAGGAGCGAACTCGTAACAATAGTTTTAAATTAGTCAAATTTAGATTTCGGCGGGAAATAGGTAAACATTAGTTTGGAAATAATAGTGGACGAGTGGAACAAGTTACCAAATATCATCATTAACTCGAATACGCTGGATAGCTTCAAACATAGGTTGGATGGATATACAGTACTATGAGCAATAGGGGTTGGGTGTAAATGGGACTGCACAGTATGGACCAATAGGCCCACTGCAGTTTCCTCCTTTTTTGTTCTTATTTTCCTTTCCACTCCATCTCTCTAATCACCCACAGCTTTCAGCTTTCTCACTCCACATTTTAAAATCTTATGTAACATTGTTGAAGGGATACAATGTAAGAAGTGTAAATATAAAAAATAACAAATTTAGCTTTCATGTTTATTCAAAACATCTTCAGGTCCTGAGACCTACTAATCCACCCAACATTGGGTGACCTGACATTGTATCAGGTCAGTAAAATGAGACCACCAATACCCCACCCTGTCTCTACCTGACATTGTGTCAGGTTCAGGTCAGTTATACGAGATCCACTAATCCCCCACAGCTTCAAGGGAGTGGAAAATACCAGTTTTTGCTCTAACACACAGCTTCATTCACGACCATATCATATAGATTTTTAGTTTAGACTCTTGAAAAACTCCCCAGCACACAGAAACATTATGAGGATGTGCGCTAGTGCGTGTTTGTGCAAGATGCATAGTTCAGACACTCCGAAATCTCTCATCCTCGGAAGTGCTCTGCACCAATTGTTCCGGCTAATGGAGATATCACTGTAGTCACACTGGAACCTGATAACCCACACTGGGCATTTAAACAGTGGCGGGAAAAGGCACGCGTTCTGGAATGTCACCCTGGGCTAGCTAGTCGGGCATTCTGGAACGTCACCCAGGGTGTAAGGGTTAAGAAATAAAAATGAGTTAAGTCACCATTGAGAAGGAGTGTGAGATATCTCACTGAAACCAAGGGGATACTGACCAAAAGGTTCTGAACCACTAATCTACACATTTATCATTTCTGACTACAGTACTGTACTGTACACCACACTTACAACCTCCATTAGCAAAACCACCTTTCAACAAGTATGTTTGTTCTCCTTTTACATTCTTTAAATTGCTGTATTAAATAAAGTTTGTCTTCGTGACATACAGTACAGTACAACACCATTGTGACGAAAATGTCAAAAACAACTAGGAAGGTAACAACTACTGCTGCTAATAACAAAAGGCTTCACTCTTCTATAGGAACATTTATTAATAACAAGGACCGCTAGTATCACAAAAAACAATCACAAATAGAAAAAAGGCAAATTATTTCAAGCATAAAATAAAATTTACCATTATGAAAAATGAAGTTGGGTCCCTAGAGTTTGTCCCAGGTGAAGTACAGTACTACAGCTCCCTTAAACAGGAAACTACAGTCCTGCATCACTTTTCTGATCATCTGGGACCTTCATACACCCATTAAGAAGAGCACCACTAAGTGTTCCTGTGCAAAACACTTAAACTGTGATCCCTGTCTAATCATTGGGTGATAACCATCAAAAGATCTCTTGATCCTTTACTATGGGAATGAACATTAATTAGCACCACAACTGCAAGGGTCACATAGGAGGCCAATTATATTTGATAAACGACTTATTCAGCACAGAAATCCTCATACACAAAGGGTTAAGAGGTTTTCCAACAGAAACTATTTTAGCATTGGTAGTTATGAGGTACAAAAAAAATTATACCATGGGATCAAAACCTTGGAGAAATCTTCAATGGGCAAACCCAACCTTCTCCACATCTTTCATGAACACAACTCGAGATTTAACAATCAACTCAAAATCATTCAAAACTCAAACATTTACTGGACTAGATTAGGATTAGTCTCACCCCCTGAAAACAAACAGCCTTCTCTAACAGAAAGATCTCCCACTTAACCAAAGTCGTTTCTTCATGATCGCTCAACAAAGACAAGTTCGAATGTTCACCAGAAAACTGTATACCGCAGTAACCACTGCTGTCAGAATACACAACTACTTGGGGATCCACCACTCCCTCCAGCTCCCATTTTCATTTCAGAATATGTCCAGTTTTTATAGCAGCACTTACCTTTTGTCAAGATGCAGCAATATTTTGTCTTAATACAGTATTGCCCCTCACATCAATTCATTATTCTTGAAATCAGTCAATCCAGTTAACTGGACAATTAAATCTTCAGACTCAAGCAAAGATGTTCACAAAAATGACCCTTAATTGTGAGGCTCCACTAGTGAGCAATGACTACAGGAGCCATCAGCCCCAGACACATGGTCATGGTGTGAAGTGCTCTACTCAGGGTATCTTGTCAAATTTCAGTTCCAAAAGTTATCAAATTAAGTTTAACAGTAAAGTTATTGAGGTGAGGCAGCACTAAAAGCCTGAGATGAGGCAGCACTACAGGCCATCTTGAATACATGACATCAGATTCTGAGCCAAATTTGATTCAAGATTCATAAAATTTCTGAAGAAGTAGAACAAGAAGAACTAAAGTACAGTAGAACTTCAATATAACGCGAGATATGTTCCAAGATAGGTCGCTTTAAATCAAACTCCCACTAGATGGAAGTTGCATCGGGCAGACACGCCAACAAAACTTCCCAGTGTGACGCAAAACGTTTGTTTTGCTAGCCGGACCGTGTTTGTCAAACATGTTTGGAGGGAAGTCCCCAGTGTGCCACCGCTTTAAGTTACACCAGACAATGTTACTGGCCCTCTCACAGAGACATGACGATCCTCCTACACTGTCCAGATGTTATTTAAACAATATTGATGAGGTGTTGAAGGAATATCCTTCCTTCCTGAGGCTTTAGTAAGCCCCTTTATAATATGTATATATACTTGTGACACTTGCCAGACGCTTCTGGTGTTATTGTACAAGGGTACCTAGTGACAACACTAGGATCCCAGTTGCTCTATCAAGGAATAAATTATTGTAATTGAATTGAATGATACTGGGAGTTAAACCACACCAAGAGCAAGTAGTTAAACTATTTTTAGGTGAATTATGCAGAATATGTGTAGACAATTAACATACAGTATTGTATTAATGTAGGAGACTACAAATTGCAGGCACAGTAAAGTATAGTACGGTACAGTAAGACGAAGTCTGATTTTAGCATCTACCAAAGGCTAACTCCATAATTTCTATATTATAGTACTGGTGCACAACTAACAATATGGGTATAATTCAGACAAGTCTACTTGTAAAAAATTTATTGCACTTTCTTGTACAAATGAAGTTACTTTTAACTTACATGATTAATTGGAATGCACAGGGAATGCAAACCAGTCTGGTGCACAAGATGTATAACAACTGAAGCTTTCTAACAAATGGTCTCTTGATTTGGGTGTTCTAATCTAAATTTTTGGCATAACAGCACTTGTCTGCTACTGAACACTCCTCTCATGCACTATCAGGAGTACTATCTTTTGCTACAGACTCTAGGGGTTCTGGCAACACGTCTCCACCACAGTCTGATATCATGACCTCCTGTAGTGGCTTGTCACGAGCATCTGTCGCTGTGTTCTCAATCTCACGAATCAGTTTCTGAAAACAATTAAAAATTGTCAGCCAACCTTTAGACATCAGCCTTTGCCAGAAAAATTTGTTCAACTACCACTACCTACACTAGGTAGTACAAGTCTCCACTATAAAATTAAGTCAATATAACTATGAATAAACTTCCTCTTAAAGCTGTCACTCAACCATCATAGATCACAAACTCAAGATCTGCAAATAATCTACTATCCAAGTTCTACTATTGAGGACCTCAAAGAGAACTCAATTTACAGCATATCACCATCTTTACACACTAAAAACTATTAACCAAAGTCTCACTATTCTTTAAACTGGGGTTTCCATGGATTTTTTTTTACAGGGATCAGCCCACATGGACACAGGTCACTGACCCACACCAGGGCCTGGGGGCAATAATTTAGTCATTATTCATAGTAAAGACAATTTATAATAAAAAGTAAAATAAAATAACACTAATAAGAAAAATAAAGAACTATAAAGAAATACAAAAATGAAAAAAAATAAATTGCGAGCAATGCTGTACATATGTTGTGTTGTGAAGGAAGAAACTATTGAAACCTACAATTGTGTGTAAATGAGGCAGAAAGACAGATCAGCCAACCTGGGACTTCGTCATAATTTTTGTGATGCCATATAGCAGCAGGGTCTACCATCAGACAACATTGTGCTTCCAATATCTTCCCAGGCAGTAGTACCTCTGTTTGGTAGCTGCCTACTACGTAAAATTTTTAATATTTTCTGATCTACGTGCATATAAACTTCGTTGAATGATAGTACTGTACACAGCACTATAAAACTGATCCAAGTGCCTAACTCACTAACAGCTGCACCTCCAAGGACCCCCTCACTTTCATAGCTGCCTTCTGGACTATAAAGAAAAACTCCACATAATAGTTTTGCCCAGTACAGTATACATACAACCACATTACTGTACTTCATACTACAGTGGTTAATGTTGCATCTTTCCTCACACCACCAGCACATCCTTCGACATTATATTTTTACTATTACATTCACAAATTAGCACCAACCCTTATGCCAATTATGTGGAAATTAGCAACTGATCGAAAGATGGTCGTTACCCTGAACTACACTCCTGTACAGTCCTAATAGGAGAAACTCTTTGAATACAAATGGCTCGGCTATTGGCATAACAAATATTCAGTATGACATACAGTATAGTTTTTTCACCACTCCCACCACAGTATATAGTAGAAGGAATCCTATGAAAGTTTTACTGAACTTAAAAGTAATTAACAAATAAGAATACTCGTAACTCCATTACTGAAAATGTACCCAAAATCACTAGATACCAGCACTTTCAACTTCTAGCAGGCAAGAATCTACAATTACAGCACTATGCTTTAGAACTTTCATCTTGCAGAAAATAAATTCGTTGTGGATTTAAGACCACCACCACCACTATACCTTAATAGTAAAAGAAAAAGAAAATACAATGACCATCCTAGTGCACCTAGGCCAAAATTACCTCAACACTTAGTAAACTGTCTTGTGGTTGAGTATGGTACTTGTGAATGGCATATAGCTAGTGAACACTTCTCAAATTATACCTACATTACTGTACAAAACATGTAAATTCACCAATACCACAAATAATCCAACTAGATACGGTATCTAAATATCACCATCCCTCTCCCTGCAGGCCACTTACTTAGATGTTAAGACCTTAACAAAAGTGTCGAGGGAACTTTGTCCTTAACTTCAGAAGAGTAAACCTTAACAACCAGAAGTTCTGTTCAACAGTTATTGAGACTTCACCAAAGGATTAATTCATAAGCAAGTAATCAACGTTACATCCCAGTAATATTAGATCACGGGTAAAATACTTCCGGAATTGTGATATATATTACAGTACTGTAAACTACAATACCAAAAAACTTCCAATAAAAAAATTCAAATGCTTAATTTACATATCACCATTCAAAATAAAACATTGGTACATTATAGTACAACTACATACACTACCACTTATTCCCTTTTGTAAGAGGTCGCCTCTGAGCCAAATAATACCGTCTGGTGTAAACCATATAAAATATTAAAATTGGCATCCCTGTAGTGAAGGAGTCAATTAGTTAAAGGAGATGGAAGACTTCACATACTCACCATGCCAGAGTGAACTTTGCCAAACACTACATGTCGGTTATCCAGCCACGAGGTCTTCACGGTGGTGATGAAGAACTGAGAGCCGTTGGTATCTGCGCCAGCATTGGCCATTGACAGCCAACCTGCACCATAATGCACCAACTTGAAGTTCTCATCAGCAAACCGATCTCCATAAATACTGCGACCTAAAAATGATTAATAGGTGTTTAGTCCGTCTGTGTGTACAGAGTTAAATTTAAAAAATATTCGTTTATTTAATATTTATTAGAAATAATGCACCAACTACATTTGATGCAAATATTCCAATGATAGGTTGTACTGTACCTGTATTAATTGGACCCCAAACAAACACTCAGGAATTTCTCATTTTGCAAATACAGTAAAACCTCACTAAAGCAGGCTAATTGGGGGAAGGGGTGCCCTGGATAAGAGGTTGTCCACACCTTAAAGCAAATTTTTCCAAAAAGATACCCATTTTAAACCAAAAATGAGCACACCAATGTATCCATGTTTTCTGAAAGAAACCTGTTTTTTAATCAAAATTAATTTTAAAAAGTAATGTACATAAAGTACAGCAAAGCCTTGAATAACGACAGTAATGTGTCCTTCAATATTACAGTGTAAGGTGAATCATCGTATCGCGAATCATTAAATACCATTAAAATAAAGCAATAATAATGAGATGTGTTCCCAAGTGTGACCTTTTCATATCTTGTGTCTTTTTACCCTCTTTCCCCCCCAAACAATACAATTAGTGAAAATTTCAAACTAAATTCTTTAAATAATGTTTCTGAATGCACCTTCTACAATATAAATTAATAATAATATGGTCACACACGAGATGGGACGCCATTGTTTTCGTTAAGTGTTTACAGCCGGGAGTCCTGGACGATAGTTCTACTTGAGAAAATTAAGAAAGTAAGACCCTGGTTGTTGTAGTAAAATTATTGTAAAAATGTTTTAATTAGTGTTATTTAATGTACAGTAGAAGTAACCACTGATATTAAAGAAAAAGTGAGACATTGTGGAACGCCAATGTATACGTGAGCACTCAAGGAAACAGTCATTTATCTTAAGAGTATGTACAAAAGATTCATTATTGTTTATTAATGAATATGTATTTGACTGAATTAATGTTTATATAGGTGAAATGAACATTGTTATTCATTAATAAAACAGAATATTAACACACACACGAGGAGACAAGACGGCATTGTTTTCGCGATGATGATGGTTCTACTGAAGAAAATAAGACCCTGGTTGTAGACGTGAACTTAATTTACAAAAAAATTAATACACGTTTGTATATTTTAAGTAATGTTATTAAATGGAACACTAGAAGTAGCTAACCACTAATGGTAAAGAAATAAAGCGAGACGGTTGGGAATGCCAATGTATGTACTTTAAGTGCATATATATGAAAACATCATTTCTCTACATATGAATATAAAAGCAACACTTGTTTACTGTTCATGTATGTTTTAAATAATATTTACGAATGTAAAACAAAAATTCTACTCACCAATGGTGGTAAAGTCTAAAACATAAGGACAGCTAATGAATATTGTGCAAGTATTTACTCAGATGAGAAAGTCATCAGGTTCAACTCTGGCTGAAGCTGTAGCTATCCATAAAGTTGTTGCTGAAACTGTTACTGAAGTTGATGTTGAAGCTGCTTATGATGCTGAATTTGATGGTGTAGCTGAAGTTGATGGTTTAGGCCTTCGAATAATAAAGCTCTCGAAAGTACCTGGCACAGCTGTTTTCTTTTCTCATACATAAAGGTCATTTGCATTTATTTAAATTTTAATGCTTTGTTCTGTTGATGGATCCACTTCAGAAAATATATCCATTGCTTGCTCCATATAATATCCACAGACCTCTCGCCTTTTTCATATCGTTTTAAAACATCGTTTCTCAGCTAAGCTTATACACTTTCTATTAGCTTTTGAAATAACACTACCATCACTTGCTCAGGTTGAATAGGGATGCAAAAATGCTGTAAGAAACCTGAGAAAGTTTTTCTCCTGTTCCTGATGTGTGAAAACAAAAGGCCCGCCAAGCTCCGACTTATGTTTACCGCTCATTAGCCAGGCAGCTTCTTTGCGCAATGTGCTCTTCATTTTTTATTAATTTTGTTTCATAATACAGATCGGGATTTAGTTATTATTTATATGAAAATGTAATTTTATTTTATTTTTATCATATTTTGGTCGTAAATATGAATGAAATAAGGACAAATTGAATTGGTTCCTAAATTAAGTAGGGTTTTATATACGAAAAGTTGTTGGTCGAACCGTTGCTATCAGAGGCTTTACTGTACACTTAATTTTAGTTCACTGATAAGGTCTTGGGGCTCATTTACACGATCAGTCTCGGAGCATGTTTACGAAGCATGGTAACGAAGCCGTGCTCGGGCAGTGATCATGTAGATGGCAACACTGAACCACCAACCCTTCCCAGGCATTTACGTGTGGGAGCCTAATACAGGTAGTTGCGTGGCCACTATGTGCTTCGCCACTGAACCGTAGCGTGCTCGACCACCATACGTGGTAACCGATCGTGTAAACAAGCCCTCAGGCTTAACCTTCTCACCACCTTATGGATACCAAACACTTTCCTAAGGGTCATCATTATTGTTTAATTTTTTAATAATAATGCAAAAAACATGAATGCTTCTTCTTCAGCCTACGGTGAATGTACTAAATGTATAAAAACGGTAAATAGTGACATAAAACACCAAAAATACAGTACAGCACTATCGTATTTTGCGGTAGGGAGCACTGTATTTAGGAAAAAACTTGTGTATATTTCTCCTGTTGCCATAGTTTTCTTAAAATAATATACAGTACACTACAGTACCAAGAAATGTGAGGAATAAATATTACTCCCCATTTCACCAAAGTAACGAACATCAGCTGGCACGGATATTGCCTAGCACACAACCCTCCCTTACACTCTGCGACTGTCCTCCCGTCCCTCACACAGCCAGCTAACTCGTGTCTCAAAGAAATGTTTACTCTTAGGACAATTATTTCTTTTACTTTTTCCACAATATGTATGTAGGATGATGTGTGCATGTAACAGTAAAAATAATTGAAGAAATTTACACATATCTACCCAAAAATACAAGTTGAAAAAACAACCATAACACCTCACAGCTTGGCCCAGTAGCCTGGTGGTTACAGTGACCAGTTTAACATGGCTACAATGCTATGATTAATCACTATTATATCACTAAACACGAATAACAAATCCAGTGAAATATGGCAGGGGGAGGAGCGTTACAACTGCAGACAATGCCTTAACTAGTGGTCACTCACTCACCCCCAGTTGCCAGGCGTACGACCGAAATACATGCGAGAAAAACATATTTTGTAGTCTAATCTGAAATCGGTGACAGGCAAAGTGATAAACAAATTATATAAACCATAAATTTATAAGGAACACTATCATTACTGGAGTGAATGAAATAATATTCCCAAAAACAACAATTGGTAACTCTTGGGCACCTGTGTCCCACTTGCTGATGCCTTGGTCCCTTGAAATTTTGCAGACATCATATCGGAAGATTTTTTTTTTTTAGGAAAATAATTTTTTCCGGCTTAAGCGATATTCGCCTTAGCAGGGTCCGCTTTAACGAGGTTTTACTGTATTGTACACCGTAATCCCTTGCCAAAAAAGGGTTTACCAAATGTGGTTGGTACAGAGTATCCACATTTTATATTTTGACCACCATAACCGTAGTATCCAGCCTCAAGTATATACTGTAGTATTAATTCCTCGCTAACTGTGGGAGTTGCATTCCAGAATTCAGCCTTGGTTGTCAAGAGTCAGGTCTAACAGGAGACATTGGGTTTGGGAAAGTAACAACAGACATAGCTCAAGTTTCATATGTACTGTATAATATCAAGGCTAAAATTAAGTACAGGGTGCATGCTATACTAAATACAGTGGGGAATGCTATAACGAACGGATCCACTACGAATATTCCTATAACGAACGGTTTTACCTATAAAATTGAGAATGCTATAACGAACGAAACTCCTACAACGAACATTATTAAAAAATATATATATTTTTTTTTTACTAATTTATTGTTTTTTTATTAGAAATATTAATGATATTCTTTATTTCAGGGGTTTAAATGCATATTTATGCACTTTTTTACAATTTTTACAATTTTATATTATATTTTTCAGTGTTAAGTGGTTGTATTTGAGGGCCTGGAACGGATTAATCCTATAACGAACAAGGTTCTAGAACCAATTAGATTCGTTATAGCATACCCCACTGTAAAACTATCATACTCTAGAAATACCAACAGCACACTGCAGGTACTGTATAAAATTTATGTAGCACTGCCCCCAGCACTAAATCCCCAGTTTTCATGCTCTTCCTAGCAATGTAAATACTATACTGTATGCAGTACACAAGTTTTTATACCTCAATATTTCATACATACAAACAACACATTTTTGCCATTTTTTGTGACAAGATAATACAGTAGACATACAAGCAAGCAGACCTCAGAGCTGCATTTCAGAGGGTAGGTACTGTAGGTATGTACAATATTTGCTTAACACCTGCCAGCCACCTATACTTCTAATTTTCCCCAAGCTTGTGCACTCATGGATACAGAAAGCTGGTTAATCTCACTTTTTTAAATTAATTCTAATCTTTTATTTGGAATTATCTTAAAACTGAAGTTAGTAAAGCACAAAAAAATATAATTTTAAAAACCAAAATATATTCATCATAATTTTTACAGGGAAATATTAATTAAAAAATTATAGATGAATTAATTTCCCTTAATTTGATAAAAAGTAGCACATCTACATTAGCTATAGTGTATCTAATTTACCATAATAAATATGGTGGTATAAACACCAACTCCATCCAAAAGAGTAATGTGCTCACCTCCAGTACCATCCCCTTTGGTAAAGTCTCCACCCTGGATCATGAAGTCCTTGATCACCCGGTGGAACTTCGAGCCTTTGTAGCTATCACCATTGGGTCCCTCAGACCGTGCCAGCTTGTAGAAGTTTTCCACAGTTTTTGGAACGGTTCTGCCAAAGAGGTCAATAGTTACACGGCCTTTTGGTACTCCGCCGATGGATAGGTCGAACCACACCTGAAATGATACAGTACAGTAATGTTAATGGTAAAATATCATTGTTAACTTTTATACACTCTGGTGGCTATGGTACAGTACAGGTCTCGAGACAATCAGCGTCACCATTTGTGATTCCTGGCTTTGCTGTGATTGACTGATACAGTACTTGGTTTATTATCTCTTCCAGTAGTTACATTTCTGGAAAAATCTGTCAACATTGCAAACAAATACAGTATTATCACTATCTTTAACCCTTAAACAGCAATGGACATCACATGCTTAGGATTTTCATGCCTATGTTTGGGTGCTCACGTGACTGTGTTGTCTGGTTACTATGACAGCACTGGCATCTCACTCCAGAGCCAGAAGAACATGACCTGTACTGTACTCCCAGTACAACTCAATTTCTCCAAAAATTATTACTTTTTAGTATTTATTAAATATGAATTTTCAGAATATTTCACTTTCTATAGTGAAAAAAAAATTAACCTCAATTAGGGCACATTCTGGACGTCTGAATATTTTATTACACGATTAGCTCCATTTTCTCCGTAGCAAATTATACCCCATCCTGGGTAAAATGCAGCACAGGTAAATATACCTGCCCTTTAAGTGGTTAACAGGCCAATCAGTGGTAAAGAGGATAAAGTAATGTAAATTAAAAAAGCATTGGGCATGAAAAACATGTCTCACTTCCTTTTTTCAGGTAACAGTGGACACTACTAACACCAGAAGCAGTTTGATGTCATTCAAATTTTCCACAAATGCGGTTTGGATAGTAAAAAAATACCACTTTCCTTTACATATAGAGAATATACTCAGTTTTTTCCTTTGATTACAAATTACCTGTAATGGTTTGGACATGAAAGAGGGAAATACCTGCATTATCCACCTCCATATTAAGGTAAATTCCTTCTGCAGATTATGCTGGGGTCTAGTTACGAAGTTATATTAGGGTCTGTGCATTGTCATATCGTTTCTATTACAGTTCTTACTATCATCCAATAAACATCTTAAAAATTTAACAAAATCAAACAACTGCTTTTGGTGTCAGCGGTTTCCTTAGATCAGGTCAGGTCACACTAGGTAAAGTTATGACCATACTAAATTTTACCTAACCCCCTACCAGGGGCGGACTCCCAGTGACCCTAGCCGGGGATTCACTCCCAGACCCCGAAACGCTATGTAATAATTCCAGAGTCGTGTGGTCAGCCTTCACGAGAATATAAATAGCCATTCAAGTATTACTTACCTTACTCTGAGATAGGGTAAGAGTCAGGGACCAGAATGTGGGTTCCTCTGTTCTCTTAAAGTTTCTTTATTTTTAGAATGAAACAATACGATAAACTTCCAATAATCGAAATCGCACCCAGCACAATATGGCTCCATGTTGCAACTGATTAAAAATGTACTGCATCTTGGCACCCACGAAGAATATTGAATGCCAATTGGGTGAATCAAAAGTGGAGTTTTTTATTGGATTTGATTGGCTGCCACCCCCCGCCCTAGATTTGATTGACTGCAGCCCCCCAATTTGATTGGCTGCCGCCCCCAGGCACATGCGTAGGAGGTAAGCAAACGTACGAACACAATTTGAGCAACAGCGTGGGGGCAACAAGTGTTCTGATTTTATTTACTTTTTAATTCAATAACTTTCTTATTATCAATTAGCGACGGAAGTACTGTACTATAAGAAAATTATCATAGAAAAAATAGTTCCATCGATTAAGTATAGTGAATTTCCGGAATTCTGTGGTTGCTGTAAACTGCAGTATTACCAACGTTTTAGTCTTCACTAAATGTGAACTAATTTTGAGTAAATAATCGTTTCGGTTATCCACCTATTTGGAAGCCAATCGTTCAAAACATCAAATACCATCGGAAAAATAATTTCAACCTAACCTCTCTTGGAAGGTGTTTAACTTAAAATCATAAAATTCGCTGGATGACCGAAACGATAATACCCTAGTTTTTAGCGGTATTCTAGTTTAGGTCATCCAAACAATGCTTGGTTAATACTCGTCCATTGGCTGTCCGCAGGTTCCCGCCATGTTTGCCCATGGTTATACTCCTCGCTTAAGAGTCCGTCGTCTCTTCCTTACTTCCTCCTCCTTGTAGGTTAGGTTAGGTTAGGTTAGGTTGGTTCCTTTGGTACGAGAATAGGTTTTTGTGTAGTTTTGGAGTTTTACTCAAATTTGACCTCCATTTTTGTGCAAATTAGCAAAAACCGCTAATTTCCAAAAGGAATAAATGTCAGACTGGAGTAATACACTGAAAAACACCAAAAAATCTATTATCGTACCAAAACCTGATAGCCAACGGCCGAATATTTTTACCCAATCTTTTTCTGATGGTTATCGAGGAATTTTGAACAATTTGGACCTTCATATCTGTCAGAAATCAGTTTAGATATTTAAATACAGAGATGACCGAAACTAAAATTGTACCTTTTTAGCAGCTTCTTGGTCTGTCCTAGAGTACATAGGCTTATTGTACAGAGCCGTCTATAACTACCTCCACTGTCTCTATACAACCTGAATCAACATAAATTTACAATAGGAATTTAGAGAATAACTATGTGAATTTTAAACCATTTAAACGAGCTAGACAAGACAAATATCGGCAAGAATATTAGAGAAGTAAATAATTACCCTGTGTGTAGCTTTGGGTCCCTTGCCCGGGGCGGATCCTTTCTGGCCATCTACTTTATTGAACACAGATGAAAACACCACCATGAACAAAAACGCAACAGCCGCCAACGTCTTCATGATGAGCTTGAGTCTGCTTCTGCCCGCCACTGCCGATACAGTCACAGTCACTGCCGATACAGTCACCGTCTCCCTTGGTGTAGACAGTTGACACCTCCACACACACGCTTGGCCTTTCACCCCTACTCTAGCGGTCTCTGCTAACTACAGTATCTTGCCACCTTTCGGCTTAATTTCCTTTCAAAGCTTTATAGTTCCCTGATAAATATGATTTTTTTTAATGAGTTTAATATTTGGATTAACTGGTTATTTTTCATGTAATATTTACTTTTTCTCCATACTTATCACTAATTGCTATTTATCTATATCCGTTTTAATTATTTATCTTTGTATAATTAACTATCACATCTGTATAATACTACTGAAATATATAATCAATCATATTTTTTTTAATATGTTGTTAAATTGTTTGTCATGTAGGCAAATAATAATGTTGCTAAGAAAGAGCCTTTACTGGTGGCAAACTTTGTTACCTTGTCACCAATTTTTCAGGAAATAAATACCTTTATTGAGTTATGGCTTTATTCAATGTAATTTATCAATATATTGTATAAATTTTATATATTTCACTATCTAGTAGTACAATCTATTTTAAACAAATATTATAAGTTAAAAAATCTTACTCAAAAGGAAGCTGATGTTATGACATATAAACATTACGAGTAATTATGTTTATCATTTGTCCTGATTTGATGTTCTTTCATTGTGTAATCTTTATATGGTTGTACATCTGCCATGGCTTCACCATTATTAATAACAAAATTGTTTTCAAATATTAAATTGTGTCCACCGGGGAAGCCGAGGACAGACACACATGGGGCTTGATGATTGGCCAGAGATATAAGTGTTGCAAATCCAGCGTAAATACTGTTTGAGAGTGAGTTTAATGTTTACCATTTTCTTAGTATTTTAATAAGTGTAACTGAAGAGTCTTATTAACATTTCATAAATTATTCTTATGTTCCTATTACAAAATTAATGCCACTATGCTGACGTGTCCATTGTATAATGGACACGTCAGCACCATGGTCACGAAGATGAACACAAATATATTTATCTATCCAGTAATTGTGTCTGGTAATATCATTAGGTTGAAAGTTGTCTTTCGGCTTAATACCGATCTTGTCGGTTCATGTACCGTGTGTCAGAAATATAAAAATATAGGCTTTAAAATTTAGATTTTCCTGCCGATTCCAAAAATCTTTGTTTATTTTTTTTAGTGATTGTTGAGAAAGACCTAACCTAGCTTTGATTCCGTGTGTATATATATATATATATATATATATATATATATATATATATATATATATATATATATATATATATATATATATATATATATATATATATATATACATATATTTCGTGTAGATCCACAATGGAAACGTGGATAAGATAAATTTTGATAAAATCACACGGGGAAAAGTGAAACAATAGAGAACCTTAGCTTTCGTCTTTATTTAAGACATCTTCAGGGCAACTTAATTATAAAGACAGAGAGAGAGCTTATGTACACAGGGTGACCTTACAAAACATGAGGTTAGGTCAAAAAATATGACCTCCACTAATCCACACACCAACCACCACAGTAAACATAAAAATATTTTATACGAACGGGCGACATAATTAGTCATGTCAGGTCAGGTAAAAAATGAGACCCACTAATCATCTATCCTACATCTACCTCAAATACTTTCAAAGATTTTTTAACCTTGGGCCACTGACAAATAAATTTGTGTAACATATTATCAGTTCTGTACTGACCATCACTAAGGTTTAAAGAATTTATTTCTATAATCAAACTTGCTTAAACTAGAAGTCTTTCTGTGACACATGATGATTTATACGTTTCTAAACTGTTGTCCCAATCTATGGGATGATTATTGTTCCTTATATGAACGATAAGTGCACTGCTTTCAGAAATTCAGATGCTGTTCTAATATTGTACTTGTGCTGTTTAATTATGAGTTGCAATGCTTTCCCAGTCTGACGTACATAATTTACATTACAATTGCTACATGGAATACAGTAAACACTTCCATTTACATTCAAGGTTGGACTATTCTTAATTAATATATTAGTAATAGTTGAGTCATACTTAAAAACAACATTAATGTTTAATAATTTACATGTGAGTGTATACAGTACAGTAATGACAATGCCAGCATTGTCATTACAGTATGATATGACCACATGTATTTCCTAAACTTCTCTGTACATATATCTTTGTATAAGTTATTGGGGCCAAGAGAGTAAGAAAGGCATAATTTCCTTGCATTTCCGTGACTCAGCGAAATTTTGCAAAGTGAAAGTTGCCCCATCAACACTTTTACCTGCCTGACTACTTTCAAATAAGGTTCTGGGGAAGAGAACACATTACAAGCTATTCTCACCATCTTCACGTACCTTTTTTCTGAATATATCTACACATTATTATTATTATTATTATTATTATTATTATTGTTATTATTATTATTATTATTATTATTATTATTATTATTATTATTATTATTATTATTATTATTATTATTATTATTATTATTATTATTATTATTATTATTATTATTATTATTATTATTATTATTATTATTATTATTACCCATTTTCTCAGGTTTCAGTAATTAATTTTAACCTAACCCGATCCTAACTCAATTCAACCCAACCTAAGCTAGCCGAACCTAAACTCAGCATACCAAAGTAACCCAACCCAACCTAAATCAATCAAACATAAAATGACGTCACCGAACTTATACTACTGTAAAATTATCAGCTGCTTGTGGGTCGGTGCTTGTAGTTATACGTTAAGGGGCTACTGTACTGTACAATCAGGTTGGGTATCCTCTACTACAGGTTCAGTTGCTGCACATGGCAAGGGCGGATTCAGGGGAGTCCTGGACCCTCCTTTTCACCAGAAAATTACAATACCTTTTCTTTAATGCATTTTTGTATTGTAAAAAGTATTTACTATTGACTTCAGAATATCTCCTAATATCAAGTGCGCCTGGCCTTAAAATGCCCATGATATTGGTCAAATTGAAAAAAAAAATCAGGGGAGACTTAAAAACTCCCTCGCAGGGTGGACTGGATGCTCGCCATGTTCCCCACAATTTCTTGGATTCACCCCCCCCCCAATTTGGATATTCCTGGATCCGTCCAAGAATGGTACTGTTTTTGTAGATTCTCATCGAGCAGTGTGTTGACCTGTGTTGCTGTTCGGTAAAATTGGCTCACCTTCCTTATTCTTCGTAGCCTTTTTGAGGACCACTACTGGTATGCCGGTGGTCGGGTCAGTGCATGTTTTTAAAGTGTAAGAAAGACGGGCGCCACAACATCCCTCTTTTTAACCGTGTGTTGGGAGATGTTGTAATAACCGAACTTACTATTTTTTTTTTCTGGTGAGTACTTTTTATATGTGCCATGAGATACTGATCAGTTACCTGTTTTCTAGCAAGTGCTGTTTATTATCGTCCTCTAAAGCCTCATTGAGTCACTTTCAATTGACAGTTGTACACAGACCACAGGTTGTCATTTAATCTGCTGGTCAACTCAAAGGGCGACAACTTCAGCGTGGGTGAAACTGTTACCCTCACCCTCCGTTATACAGGTCAGGTGAAAGAGCTGTGGAATAATTATCTAAGTTCAGAGGTGTTAGTTGCCTTCCCACACACACTGTACCGTTCACGTGGTGCGCCGACTAATAGTTATACGTATGATGATGACTACTTGTTCAGTCATTTATTTTCACCTTCAGTTTCAGTACCACTAGACACATTGTTCTTCTGGTGTCTATAACCACAACTAAATGGCAGTGATCAAAACACACACACACACACACACACACACACATACACACACACAAATCCAGATATATGCACACATGTTTCCTCTACAGCACCACCAGCAAGGCAGATCTACAATCAAGTGTTTCCTCTACATCACCACCAGCAAGGCAGATCTACAATCAAGTGTTTCCTCTACATCACCACCAGCAAGGCAGATCTACAATCAAGTGTTTCCTCTACATCACCACCAGCAAGGCAGATCTACAATCAAGTGTTTCCTCTACAACACCACCAGCAAGGCAGATCTACAATCAAGTGTTTCCTCTACATCACCACCAGCAAGGCAGATCTACAATCAAGTGTTTCCTCTACATCACCACCAGCAAGGCAGATCTACAATCAAGAAATGTTTCCTCTACAGCACCAGCAAAACAGATCTACAATCAGAGTGTTTCTCTACATCACCGCCAGCAAGGCAGATCTACAGTAAGTGTTTCCTCCTGTCACCACCAGCAGGGGCAGATCTACAATCAAAGTGTTTCCTCCTCTGGCACCACCAAGCAAGAGCAGATCTACCTGATAATTGTTTCTACTCCTACCAACACGCCACCAGCAAAACCAGATCTACAATCAAAGTGTTTTCTCTTCATCACCACCAACAAGGCGGTCTTCACAATCAGGAATGTTTCCTCTACATCACCACCAGCAAGGCAGATCTACAATCAAGTGTTTCCTCTACATCTTTTAGCAAGGCAAGATCTACAATCAAGTGTTTTCACTCTGCATGTCACCACCAGCAGGCAGATCTACCAATCAAAGTGTTTCCTCGACAGCACCACCAGCAAGGCGATCTGCAATCAGAGTGTTCACTCTACAACACCACCAGCAAGAACCGGGAATACTGGCAATCCAGTGTTTCCTCTGGCGCACCAAGCAGAAGCAGATCTACAATCAAGTGTTTCCTCTACATCACCACCAGCAAGGCAGATCTACAATCAAGTGTTTCCTCTCATCACCACCAGCAAGAGCAGATCTACAATCAGTGACTTTCCTCCACATCACCACCAGCAAAACAGATCTACAATCAAGTGTTTCCTCTACATCACCACCAGCAAAGACGATCTACAAATAGTGTTTTCTCTACATCACCACCAGCAAAGGCAGATCTACAATCAAGTGTTTCTCTACCCAGCGCACCAGCAAAGGCAGGAATCTACAATCAAGTGTTTCCTCTACAGCACCACCAACAGGGCAGATCTACAATCAGTGTTTCCTCTACAGCACCACCAACAAGGCAGATCTGCAATCAAGTGTTTCCTCTGCATCACACTGACAAGGCAGATCTACAATCCAAGTGTTTTGCCTCTACAGCACCACCAGCAAGGGCAGACCTACAATCAAGTGTTTCCTCTACAGCACCACCACTTCAAAGGCAGACCTACAATCAAGTGTTTCCTCTGCTTACCACCAGCAAGGCAGACCTACAATCAGTGTTTTCATCACACAGCACCAACGAAAGAGCAGACCACAATCAAGTGTTTCATCTACAGCACCACCAGCAAAACAGTTCTACAATCAAGTGTTTTCATCTACAGCACCACCAACCAAAGGCAGACCTACAATCCTAGAAATTGTTTCATCTACAGCACACCACCAGCAAGGCAGTTCTACAATCAGAAGTGTTTCCTCTACACCACCAGCAGGGCAGATCTACAATCAGTGTTTCTCTACCAACACCACCAACGGGTCTACAATCAAGTGTTTCCTCTACACTTTTACCAGCAAGGCAGGTCTACACTCAAGTGTTTCCTCTACAACACCTAGCAAAACAGTTCTGCAATCAAAATTGTTTCCATCTACAGCACCACCAGCAAGGCAGATCTACACTCAAGTGTTTCTCACTCTACATCACCACCAACAGAGCAGTTTACCACAATCAAAGTGTTTCCTCTACGCCACCACCAGCAAAGGCAGATCTACAATCAAGTGTTTCCTCTGCAGCTACCAGCAAGAGCAGTCTACACTCAAGTGTTTCCTCTACAACACCACCAGCAAAGGCAGATCTACAATCAGAGTGTTTCCTCTACAGCACCACCAGCAAGGCAGATCTGCACTCCAAAAATTGACACTCCATCACCACCAGCAAGGCAGTTCTACAATCAAGTGTTTTCTGTCTGCAGCCACCACCAGCAAGGCAGACCACAATCAGTGTTTCATCTACAGCACCACCAACAAAGGCAGATCTACAATCAAGTGTTTCCTCTACAACCACCAGCAGAAGCAAGAATCCACAATCAAGTGTTTTCCTCTACAAGCACCACACCAGCAAGGCAGTTCTACAATCAAAGTGTTTCCTCTACAGCACCACCAACCAAGGCAGATCTACAATCAAGTGTTTCCTCTATCACCACCAGCAAGGAGCAGATCTACAATCAAGTGTTTCCTCTACATCACCACCAACAAGGCAGACCTACAATCCAGTGTTTTCCTCTACAACACCACCAGCAAGGCAGACCTACAATCCAGGGGTGTTTCATCTGCAGCACCACCAGCAAGACAGGCCTACAATCAGTGTTTCATCACACAACACCACCAGCAAAGGCAGACCACAATGTATGTGTTTCCTCTACCACCAACCAAGGCAGACCTACAATCCAAGTGTTTCATCTACAACACCACCAGCAAGAGCGAAATTTACAATCAAGTGTTTCATCTACAAGCACCACCAACAAGAGCAGACCTACAATCAAGTCGCTGCATCTACAACACACCACCAGCAAGAGCAGACCTGCAATCAAGTGTTTCATCTACCTTTTACCAGCAAGAGCAGACCTACAATCAAGTGTTTCTCTACAACACCACCAACAAAGGCAGACCTACAATCAAGTGTTTCTCTACAACACCACCAGCAAGAGCAGTTCTACAATCAAGTGTTTTCCTCTACATCACCACCAGCAAGGCGGTTCTGCAATCAAGTGTTTCCACTCTACAGCACACCAGCAAGGTAGATCTACAATCAGTGTTTCCTCACAGCACCACCAGCAGGCAGATCTTTCCATAATCCAAGTGTTTCCTCTACAGCACCACCAGCAGGTAGATCTACAATCAGGGTGTTTTCCTCTACATCACCACCAGCAAGGCAGTCTACAATCCGTGTTTCATCTAGCACCACCAGCAAAGGCAGTTCTACAATCAAGTGTTTCCTCTACATCACCACCAGCAAGGCAGTTCTTCCAATCAAGTGTTTCTCTACCAGCACCACCAGCAGGTAGATCTACAATCAGTGTTTCGTCTACATCACCACCAACAAGGCAGTTCTACAATCGTGTTTCCTCTACAACACCACCAGCAAAATGATCTACAATCAGGTGTTTCACTCTACAGCACCCACCAACAAGGCAGGACTACACAATCAAAGTCATTTTTCCTCTACAGCACCACCAACGAGAGCAGATCTACAATCAGAAGTGTTTCTCCTACAGCACCACCAAAGCTGAGAGCAGATCTCTACAATCCAAGTGTTCATCTACAGCACCACCAGCAAGGCAGATCTACAATCAAGTGTTTCATCTACAGCACCACCGACCGCAAGAGCAGATCACCACAATCAAGTGTTTCATCTACAGCACCACCAGCAAAGGCAGATCTACAATCAAGTGTTTCCATCTACAGCACCACCAGCAAGGCAGATCTTTAATCCAAGTGTTTCATCTACAGCACACAGCAAGGCAGATCTACAATCAAGTGTTTCATCACAGCACCACCAGCAAGGCAGATCTACAATCCAAGTCAGGCTTTCATCTACAGCACCACCAGCAAGGCGTTCCTAATCAAAGTGTTTCCTCCACAGCACCACCAGCAAAGGCAGATCTACAATCAGAGTGTTTCATCTACAGCACCACCAGCAAGGCAGATCTCTACAATCCAAGTGTTCCTCTACATCACCACCAACAGGAAGGAGCAGATCTACAATCAGGGTGTTTCATCTACAGCACCACCAACAAGGCAGATCTACAATCAAGTGTTTCCTCTACAGCACCACCATAGGGGAGCAGATCTACAATCAAAGTGTTTCCTCTACCAGCACCACCAGCAAGGCAGATCTACAATCAAGTGTTTCATCTACAGCACCACCAGCAGGCAGATCTACAATCAAGTGTTTCCTCTACAGCACCACCAGCAGGGCAGTTCTACAATCAAGTGTTTCTCCTACAGCACCACCAGCAGGGGCAGATCTGCAATCAAGTGTTTCCTCCACAGCACCACCAACAAGGCAGTTCTGCAATCAAAGAGTGTTTCCTCCTACAGCACCACCAGCAAGAGAGCAGTTCTGCAATCAAGTGTTTCCTCTACCGGCACACCAACGAGCAGTTCTACAATCAAGTGTTTTTCTCTACAGCACCACAGCAAGGCAGATCTGCAATCAAGTGTTTCTCTACAGCACCACCAGCAAGGCAGTTCTACAGTAAGTGTTTTCCTCACCACAACACCACCAGCAAGGCAGTTCGCGTCAAGTGTTTCCTCACTGGCACCACCAGCAAGGCAGATCTACAATCCAAATGTTTCTCTACAGCACCACCAGCAGAGCAGATCTACAATCAAGTGTTTCCTCTACAGCACCACCAGCAAGGCAGATCTACAATCAAGTGTTTCTCTACAACACCACCAGCAAGGCAGTTCTACAATCAAGTGTTTCCTCCTACAACACCACCAGCAAGGCAGTTCTACAATCAAGTGTTTTCTCTACAGCACCACAGCAAGGCAGATCTACAATCAAGTGTTTCCTCTACAGCAGCACCACCAGCAAGGCAGATCTACAATCAAGTGTTTCCTCTCCACACCACCAGCAAGGCAGTTCTACAATCAAGTGTTTCCTCTACAACACCACCAGCAAGGCAGTTCTACAATCAAGTGTTTCTCCTGCTTTTACCAACCAAGGCAGATCACCAATCAGTGTTTCCTCTACCGCTTACCACCATAGAGACAAGTTCTACAATCAGGTGTTTCCTCTACAACACCACCAGCAAGGCAGTTCTGCAATCAGTGTTTCTCTACAACACCACCAGCAAGGCAGTCTGACAGTGTTTCTCTACAACACCACCAACAAAGGCAGTTCTACAATCAGTGTTTCTCTACCTTTTACCAACCAAGGCAGATCTACAATGAAGTGTTTCCTCTGGCACCACCAGCAAGAGGCAGATCCACAATCCCGCAAGTGTTTCCTCTACCTTGCCCACACCAGCAAGGCAGATCTGCAATCCAAGTGTTTCCTCTCCAGCACCACCAACCAAGGCAGATCTACAATCAGTGTTTCCTCACCACTTCACAAGCAGGCAGTTCTACAATCAGTTTTCCTCTACAACACCACCAGCAAGGCAGTCTACAATCAAGTGTTTCTCTACAACACCACCAGCGAGCAGTTCTACAATCAATGTTTTCTCTACAGCACCACCAGCAAAGGCAGTTCTACAATCAAGTGTTTCCTCTGCTTGCCACCACCAGCAAAACTGAGTCTACAATCAGTGTTTCCTCTACGCTTCACCACCAGCAAAGGCAGTTCTAATCAAATATTTCTCTACAACACCACCAGCAAGGCAGATCTACAATCCAAGTGTTTCCTCTGCAGCACCATCAGCAAAGGCAGTTCTACAATCAAGTGTTTCCTCTACATCCACCCACCAGCAAAGGCAATTTCTACAATCAAGTGTTTCACTCTACAACACCACCAGCAAGGCAAAGATCTACAATCAGATGTTTTACCTCTACAACACCACCAGCAAAGGCAGTTCTACAATCTAAGTGTTTCCTCTACAGCACCATCAGCAAAGGCAGATCTACAATCAAGTGTTCCTCTACAGCACCATCGCTTAGAGCAGTTCTACAATCAAGTGTTTCTCTCATCACCCGCGAGCAAGAGCAGTTCTGCAATCAAGTGTGTTTCCTCCTACAGCACCATCAGCAAAACGGTTCTACAATCAAGTGTTTCCTCTGCATCTACCACAAGCAAGCAGTTTCACCACCGTCAGTATGTTTCCTCCTACAACACCACCAACAAGGCAGATCTACACTCAAGTGTTTCCTCACAGCTTACCACCAAGCAAAGGCAGTTCTACAATCAAGTGTTTCCTCTTCATCACCACCAGCAAGCAGTTCTAATCAAGTGTTTCCTCTAAGCACCATCAGCAGGCAGAAGATCTACAATAAGTGTTTCCTCTACAGCACCATCAGCAAGAGCAGTTCTACAATCAAGTGTTTCTCCCATCACCACAGGCAAGGCAGTTCTACAATCAATGTTTCTCTACAGCACCATCAGCAAGGCAGTTCTGCAATCAAGTGTTTCCTCCACATCACCACGAGCGAGAGCAGTTCTACAATCAGAATCGTTTCTCTACTACCACCAGCAAGGCAGATCTACACTCAAGTGTTTCCTCTACAACACCACCAGCAGGCATTCTACAATCAAGTGTTTCTCTACATTTCCACCAGCAAGGCAGATCTACAATCAAGTGTTTCTCTACAACACCACCAACAAGGCAAGTTCTAATCCCAAATTAACCTCCCCCGACACCACCAGCAGGAAGTTCTACAATCAAGTGTTTCCTCTTACAACACCACCAGCAAGAAACGGACCTACTATCCAGTGTTTCGCTTTACAACACCACCAGCAGGAAGTTCACAATCAAGTGTTTCATCTACAACACCACCATAAAGTTCTGCAATCAGGAAGTGTTTCATCAGCACCACAGCAAAGGCAGTTCACAATCAAGTGACTTTTCTCTACAACTTTCCACCACTTCAAAGGCAGTTCTACAATCCGTGTTTCCTCTACGCACCACCATAAAAAGGAAGTTCTGCAATCAAGTGTTTCCTCTACAACACCACCAGCAAGAGTTCTACCACAATCCAAGTGTTTCATCTACGGCTTTACCATCGAGAAGTTCTACAATCAGTGTTTTTCATCTGCTTCCACCACCAGCAGGCAGTTCTACAATCAAGTGTTTCTCTACAACACCACCAGCAAGAGCCAGATCTACAATCAAGTGTTTCTCTACAACACCACCAGCAAAGGCAGGTCTACAATCAAGTGTTTCCTTTACAACACCACCAAGCAAGGAGCAGATCTACAATCGGTGGCTTACCTCTAACACCACCAACGTTCTAGTCAGTGACACCTCTACAACACCACCAGCAAGAGCAGGTCTACAATCAAGTGTTTCCTCTACAGCACACAACGAGGCGGTTCTACAATCAAGTGTTTCTCTAACACCACCAGCAAGGCAGATCTGCAATCAGAGTGTTTCTCTACAACACACCACCAACAAGGCAGTTCTACCGTCAAGTGTTTCCTCTACAACACACCACCAGCAAGGCAGTTCTACCACACACTCAAGTGTTTCTCTACAACACCACCAGCAAGGCCAGTTCTACAATCAGTGTTTCCTCTACAGCACCACCAACAAGGCAGATCTACAATCAAAGTGTTCCTCTAAACACCACCAGCAAAACGGAGTCTCAAGTGTTTTCCTCTACAGCACCGGCAGGCAGGTCCCCAATCAGTGACTTCTCTACAACACCACCAGCAAGGCAGATCTACAGTCAGTGTTTCCTCTACACCACCAGCAAGGCAGTTCTACAATCAGAAGTGTTTCTCTACAACACCACCAGCAAGGCAGATCTACAATCAAGTGTTTCCTCCACATCTACCAGCAAGCAGGGTTCCTACCGCTCAGAGTGTTTCTCTACAACACCACCAGCAAGGCAGTTCTACAATCAGTGTTTCTCCTACGGCACCACCAGCAAAGGCAGATCTGCAATCAGTGTTTCTCTACAACACCTGCCTTAATGCAGTTCTACAATCTAGTGTTTCTCCTACATCACCACCAGCAAGGCAGTTCTACACTCCAGAGTGTTTCTGCTCTACAACACCACCACAAAACAAAACAGTTCTACAATCAAGTGTTTCCTCTGCAGCACCACCAGCAAAGGCAGATCTACAATCGATGTTTCCTCTACAACGCACCACCAACCGAGCCAGATCTACAATCAAGTGTTCCTCTACAGCTTTTCTCGCAAGCAGTTCCACTGAAATGGTGTTTCTCTACAACACCACCAGCAAGGCAGTTTATACAATCCAAGTGTTTCTCACCACAACACCACCAGCAAGCACCAGTTCTACCGTCAAGTGTTTCTCTACAACACCAGCAGGCAGTTCTACAATCGGTGAACTTCCTCTACAGCACCACCAGCAAGGCAGATCTACAAATCAAGTGTTTCCTCTACCAGCTTTCCACCAGCAAAAGGCAGTTCTGCAATCCAAGTGTTTCCTCTGCAACACCACCAGCAGGCAGTTCGCGCACAATCCAGTGTTTTCTTACTTTCCAACCGAGCAGTTGCACAATCAAGTGTTTTCCTCTACAGCACCACCAGCAGGCGTTCTAAATAAAGTGTTTCTCTACAACACCATCCAAGCAAAGAGCAGATTTACAGCAAAGTGTTTCCTCTACAACACCACCAGCAAAGCGGATCTCTACAATCAGGTATTTCCTCTACAACACCACCAGCAGGGCAGATCTGCAATCAGGCTCTCTACAACACCACCGCCGGGCAGTTCATACTGTCAGTGTTTTTCTCTTTACCACCAGCAGGCTGGTTCGCACAATCAAAGTGTTTATACGGCATACCAAGCAAGGCAGTTCTACAATCAAGTGTTTCCTCTACATCACCACCAGCAAGGCAGTTCTACAATCAAGTGTTTCCTCTACAACACCACCAGCAAGGCAGATCTACAATCAAGTGTTTCCTCTACAACACCACCAGCAAGGCAGTTCTACAATCAAGTGTTTCCTCTACAGCACCATCAGCAAGGCAGATCTACAATCAAGTGTTTCCTCTACAGCACCATCAGCAAGGCAGTTCTACAATCAAGTGTTTCCTCTACATCACCACGAGCAAGGCAGTTCTACAATCAAGTGTTTCCTCTACAGCACCATCAGCAAGGCAGTTCTACAATCAAGTGTTTCCTCTACATCACCACGAGCAAGGCAGTTCTACAATCAAGTGTTTCCTCTACAACACCACCAGCAAGGCAGATCTACACTCAAGTGTTTCCTCTACAACACCACCAGCAAGGCAGTTCTACAATCAAGTGTTTCCTATGCACATCTCACCACCAGCCAGGCAGATCTACAATCAAGTGTTTCCTCTACAACACCTACACCAGCAAGGCAGATCTGCAATCAAGTGTTTCCTCTACAACACCACCATCAAAGGCAGTTCTACAATCAAGTGTTTCCTCTACAGCACCACCAGCAAGGCAGTTCTACAATCAAGTGTTTCCTCTACAGCACCACCAGCAAAGGTAGATCTACAATCAAGTGTTTCCACTCATCACCACCAGCAAGGAGCAGTTCTACAATCAAGTGTTTCACTCTACAGCACCACCAGCAAGAGCAGTTCTACAATCAAGTGTTTCCCTCCCCACCAGCACCACCAGCAAGGCAGTTCATACAATCAAGTGTTTCTCACAACACCACCAGCAAAGGCAAGATCTACAATCAAGTGTTTCCTCTACAACACCACCAGCAAGGCAGTTCTACAATCAAGTGTTTCCTCTACAACACCACCAGCAAGGCAGTTCTACTATCAAGTGTTTCCTTTACAACACCACCAGCAAGGAAGTTCTACAATCAAGTGTTTCATCTACAACACCACCAGCAAGGAAGTTCTACAATCAAGTGTTTCATCTACAACACCACCAGCAAGGCAGTTCTACAATCAAGTGTTTCCTCTACAACACCACCAGCAAGGCAGTTCTACAATCAAGTGTTTCCTCTACAACACCACCAGCAAGGAAGTTCTACAATCAAGTGTTTCCTCTACAGCACCACCAGCAAGGCAGTTCTTCCAATCAGAAGTGTTTCCCTCTATAACACCACCAGCAAGACGATTCTACACAATGAAAGTGTTTCCTCTACATCACCACCAGCAAGGCAGTTCTACAATCAAGTGTTTCCTCACCCAACACCACCAGCAAAACCAGATCTACAATCAAGTGTTTCCTCTACAACACCACCAGCAAAGGCAGTTCTACAATCAAGTGTTTCCTCTACAGCACCACCAACGAGAGCAGATCTGCAATCAAGTGGGCTCTCTACAACGCACACCACCAGCTAGGCAGACCTACAATCAAGTGTTTCCTGTACAACACCACCAACAAGGCAGACCTACAATCAAGTGTTTCCTCTACAACACCACCAGCAAGGCAGATCTACAATCAAGTGTTTCCTCTACAACACCACCAGCAAGGCAGTTCTACAATCAAGTGTTTCCTGTACAACACCACCAGCAAGGCAGGTCTACAATCAAGTGTTTCCTGTACAACACCACCAACAAGGCAGGTGTACAATCAAGTGTTTCCTGTACAACACCACCAGCAGGGCAGGTCTACAATCAAGTGTTTCCTGTACACCACTAGCGAGGCAGACCTATAACCACGTGTTTCCTCTACAATAACAAATCATCAGTAATTCGTATATGACCTGTATCATCTATATGTTAACTCCATGTCTCATTTTTGTATTGAAAGCTTTTGTTCAACAATTTATTCCCCAGTGCCACTATATCTATTACTGCAAATATTTTTTTTTGCAATGTATATTTTCAACCCCCGGGTGCTGTGCGTTTCAATTAGCCGTTAATTATTATTATTTACCATATACACATCCACATAACGGTAGAACCACGTCCACACAAACACACACTTGAACACCTTGAGTCGCTGCCTTGGGATCAAATGTTAACCACCTCCCTCTCCTCAACTCCTGCCCACCAAGACGGGTGCAAGGATTGATGCTCAATCCACGACTAATATAAAAGTTGCAAATTCAATCCAGAAAAAATGGAAAACAAGGTGTTGGTTGAGTCGTGAATAAGTGCCCAGTGGTAAACAATGTCACAGCCGAAATCTCACGCCCACGCCTACATCTGAACTGCCAAGGGTTATCTTCACCCTACAAGTGAGGTCCCAAAACGTCACGTGAAAAGTCCATCAAAATACCACATGACAGGTGGTAAATCCTGCCAGTGTCTATACTGTACTGAGAAACTAAAAAAATAGATCCCTGGACGGCACTCTGTAGGCCTACAATGACCTTCTCACCTCCCCTTGATCTTCATTGTCTCCAGCTACCAGTTGGGACAGAACTGTTATACGTCCTCACCACCACCCACCTTGGAACGGACCCTTTCACGTGCAGCTGTCCTACACCACAGCTACAACAGAGGCCTACAAAACCAGCTACCTTGCTGTAGTTATTTTAGCTTGTATGTTCACCCAATGTTTTCTGCTTTTATTGTAATAAAAACTTTTGTTAAATGACTTACTGCCAGTTTCTCTCAATAAACCAACACTCCTATGTTTATTCTCAATGTACAGTTGTAGTGTACTGTAAGTGGCCAGTTGTCAATTCTCTTTGGTTGTCTATTATTTCTTTGTATGGGCTCACAAACGTACGTACATGTAAGATATCTCACACTCAGGATTGAGGTAGAATAGAAACTCACAATGCGTTTTCTGTATATATATATTGTTGTACAGTGCAGTGCTAAGGAGTTACTAGGTGATGAACAGTTTGCTCAGAGGTCCTGTTGGGCGAGGAGCTGTAGAGAGGTCTTGCTGGTCCAGTAGATCAGAGTAGAATGGCCTCCCGGCGGCGGTGGAGTTGTTTGTTGTTGAGATTGTCGGACCGTAGTCCGACACGGGCCTTTGCCTATAGGCGGCCCGTTTGGTGGTTCCGGCTGGAGCTCCTGGAGCAGCCAGACCGGATTTGGGATTGGAGGTGGTCCTACCTGCAGATATGAAAGGATACTGCAGGTTGCAAGTGTGAGCGGACCCCCGATCACTGGACGCTTACCACCAAACCCCACTCTTGGACGTGGTCAGTTTCGGAGTGGCGCGCCCCCCGAACTGGGGTCCGCACTTGCTGGGAGAGGATACTTTCTAAGCTATCTGGGTGGTGGGTATCGTGTGATGACCCGGAGTAGGTGGTGAATGTGGTCTGTTTGGCCTTTCGGGTTAGAGTGGCCGCTGTTGTTGTGTGTGCTTCTTGGGAGTTTTGAGTTCTGTTTTGGAGACTATGTGTGACTTTGCAGTCGAGGAGATAGTGTTCCAGTGGGTTGGCTGCTGGCTCCTGACAGTAGGTGCATTCCATGACGTCATTTCCGATCATCTGCCAAGTGCACTTGTACCCTAATCGTAGTCGATGAAGGCTGACTTGGGTTTGTCTTGGAGTTTTCTTGTCAGCGAAAGGTGGTTCCCCCTTTTGTAGCCGCCAGGTACCATTTGGCTGATTGGGAACCAGCGTTGAATGCGTGAAGGAAGCTCTTTTGGATGTGGAGCCTGCTAGTCTTTCTGAGGTGATTCTTGATCTGTTGCACGCTTGCTGGAACTTGAATGTGTACGCTACTAGAAAGTGTGGCTGCCTTGGCTGCTTCGTCTGCCACGTCGTTTCCTCCGATCCCTATATGACTGGGAATCCAGTAAGACGACTGGGCGGTTTTGGCTTTGGAATTCCTGTAGATGTGCGAGGATCGAGGTTATGATGTGGACGTTGTCTCTTGGTTGACTGTGTTGCAGCGCCTGCATGGCCGATTTCGAGTCCGTGTGAATTATGATGGACTTGTTGTGTTGTGTTGCAGCGTGTTGTAGGGCCTTTGAGATTGCTACCAGCTCTGTTTGTAGGGTGGAGCAGTCATTAGAAAGTCTCCATCGGAGGGTCTGACCTTGGGTGTAGAAGGCCGCTCCGGATGTATGATGTTTTGGATCAACCGAGCCGTCTGTGAAGT